GATGTCGAAACTGCTTCTCCCCATAATTCTTTGGGTAGATGCTTTCCATTCAACATACTTCTCACCATATTCATGATGGTTTTGTTCTTGCGTTCTGCAATCCCATTTTGCTGTGGAGTGTAGGGTGGCACCACCTCATGTACAATCCCTTCTTTTACACATAGTGTATCGAACTCTTTCGACACATACTCTCCACCACCATCAGTCCTCAGAATTTTCAGCTTTCGACCACTCTGTCTTTCGACCATGAACTTGAATCTGGAAAATACCTCAATCACATCACTTTTCTTCTTGATGAGGTAAGTCCACAGCTTTCGACTGTAATCATCTATAAACGTGACAAAGTATCCATTGCCACCAATCGAATCCACCTGGATTGGACCACATACATCAGAGTATATGAATTCAAGTATTGCCTTCGACTTCCTTCCTGCATCCTTGCTGAAGCTATTCTTGTGTTGTTTCGACTGAACACACTCCTCACAAACTTCACTTGGAATGTCGATTTATGGTAATCCTGAAACCATATTTCTTTTCTTCAGTTCTCTGATGTCATTAAAGTTGAGATGACCTAGTCGAAAATGCCATAACCATTCATCTCTGTTGGCTGCAGTTGCTAGACACTTATGCTCCATCACATTGAGTCCAATCTTGAAAGTCCTATTCTGAGACATTAGAGCCTTCAAGATTAATCTACCACCTGCGTCGAGAACTCTCATCATCTTGTTTTCGATAACTACCTTGTAGTTCTTTTCGACAAGCTGCCCTATACTGAGCAAGTTACTCTTCATGCCTGGTATGTACAACACATTGGAAATTGTTAACCTTTTGCCATCTTTCCTCATAATCAGAACATCACCAACACCTTCAGCTGCTAGAGTGTTGTCATTTACAAACTTCACTGTGTTCTTCGACGAGGGCTTCATGTTGACAAACCAATCTTTTCTTCCAGTCATGTGTGATGAGCATCCTGAGTCTAAGTACCACTGATCTTGGAATCTTTCTTCATCTTTTGTTGTAACCATTAGCAATGTTTCTTCTTCTTCATATTTCGCCAGCTTTGCATCAGTCTCTTGATTTCTCTTCCTTTCTGGACAATCACTAGCATAATGACCATACTTCTGGCAATTAAAACATTGAATGTGGCTTTTGTCTGTCTTTTGACCACCACCTCTTCCTGCAGCACCACCTCTTTGGTTGCCTTGGTTCCAAGGTTTCTTTTGATTCGACTGGTTTCCTCCTTTGTTGCCATTCCAGCTACCTTTGCCTTTTCTCTCCTTTTCCGTCTGTGCCTGCAAAGCCATATCTTTCGACTTTCCTGCAGCTCTCTCAGCCATCCTCTGTTCATGAGACTCAAGAGTCCCTTGAATCTCTTCCTTCGTCAACACTGACAGATCTTTCGACTCTTCTATGGCAACTACCACGTGGTCGAATTTTGGAGCCAACGATCTCAAAATCTTTGAGACAACTGCTTTCGTCGTCAGCGTTTCTCCACATACTTTGATTTGATTCACCAACCTTGTAACTCTGGTGAAGAAATCTGCAATGCTTTCGTTGTCTTCCATCTGAAGCAACTCATAGGTTCTCTTGTGAGTTTGTAACCTCACCTCTTTCACCTTCTCTGCGCCTCCAAACGACTTTTCAAGAATCTCTCATGCTTCTTTTACTGAATCAACATCACTAACCTTTTCAAAGTTATCAGGATCAACACACTGATGAATTATAAAGAGTGCTTTATAATCCTTCTTCTTCAATTCTTTGTGCGCAGCCTTTTCCGCCTCCGTTGCATTCTCCACAAGCGGTGTCACTCCGTCCTTCACAAGATCCCAAAGATCTTGATAACAGAAAATCACTTTAACCTGCTTGCACCAATTCTCATAATTGTCTTTCTTGAGAATTGGCAGGGTCGCCGGAAAGTTGTCGTTCGAATAGTTCATCGCCATCACTATCTTCCTTCCTTGAATCTATCAACCGGAGCTCTAGATACCAGATGTTGGAAATTCACCTCACACCCTATGAAGAATTCCCTTCAATCTTGATCTCAAGATTGATGAACAAACCCACAATATGATAATGAGGGTAATAACAAGTAATTATCAAGAACAACAAAAGAGAAGAATAATAACAAACAAGAAAGAGAAGAATGAGAGAAGAAGTATTTGGAGAGAATGTGTTACCCATAATTGTGAGATTTCTTATTGAACTTTCACTTGCTAACTGCAACTGTGAAATCTGTTCTGTTGTGATATAGAATACAAAGCAAGGCACCCTATTTATAGTTTTAGGTTTACACTAGCCCAAAACATAAAAGACCCAAAATATTCTAAATCAAATCTAATCATATGATATCAAATTTAATCATATGATATCTAATCATATCATATCAAATTAATCATATGATATAAAATCTAATCATATGATATCAAATTAAATATGTTTACACAATAAATTATATTTAACATTTACCACGAAAATCGGAAGTTTTAGAAAGTCGAGAGAAAAAAAACTGCCGGTGAATAGTATTACCCGTACGGATGAATAGTGACGTCCGTACGGATGAATAGTATGTCCGTACGACGAATAGTGTTTTCGAGTTTTCGGACTTTTTCGATTTTGAGCTTTGTTTGTTGGGTATTTACTATTATAAATATGTATTTCTTATATGTTTGGTGTGTGACAATTTCAGATGATCTTGATAGAATATCATTCGACAGGAGGTTACAAGTTGTTCGACCCAGTGAATAAGCAGGTAGTGATCAGCAGGGACGTGATCATAGATGAGTTTAAAGAATGGGATTGGACTAAGAATGCCAAGAAGGATTCAGTGAGAATCTCTTATGAAGAACCAGCCACTGAAGTCGAAATAGAAGTTCGACAGGAACCAGTTGCAGATGAAGTAGGTTCAAGCAGACCTCGACGAACAAGACACATGCCTGCAAGGTTGTAACAATGTTTAATTACATCAGATGATGTAGTCGATGAATGGGGTGAGCTGGTACATTATGCTTTCTACGTAGATATCCAACCAGTCAGTGCAGCTGAGGCATTGAAAGATTCAAAGTGGGTGAAAGCAATGACTGAAGAGTTGGAGTCCATCGAAGTCAATGATACCTGGTCACTTGTCGAATTTCCGCAAGGCAAGAAGGAAATTGATGTGAAGTGGGTTTACAAGGGGAAGGTAAATCCTAAAGGAGAAGTAACTCGACACAAGGCGAGACTTGTGGCGAAAGAATTTCTTCAGAAGGAAGGAATCAACTTCGATGAAGTATTCGCACTTGTTGCTAGAATCAAAACAATCAGGTTGGTTGTTGGTCTAACAAATATGAACAACTGGCACACATGTCAGATGGACATGAAGTGTGCATTCCTTAATGGCCCCTTAGACTAAGAAGTTTATGTTGCACAACCAGCTGGGTTTGCGAAACAACGCGAAGAAAGAAAGGTGTACAGGCTTCATAAAGCCCTGTATGGACTTAAGCAAGCACATCGAAATAAGGTTCCATTATCTTCGAGAGCAGGTAGCAGAAGGAAAGATGAAGTTGGAACGCTGCAGAACTGAGAATCAGATTGCAGATATCATAACGAAGGGAGGGTAGGTCGAAGCCTTTAGAAGACTAAGAGCCATGGTGAATGTAGACAGTTTAGACACAATAAATTAGGTGGTGTGTTAAATGTAATTCATAGTGTATCGAAGTCTAAATTAATTGTCGAAGTGTCGAAGCTTTCAGTGTGTCGAAACAGTTTGTTTTGACACAGATTTGTTTTGATGAGATTTGATATGATTTAGATTTGATTTGATTTTGAATATTTTGGGCCTTTTATGTTTTGGGTTTTTGTAAACCTAAAATTATAAATAGGTGTCTTGCTTTATAATCAAACATAGAACAGATTTCACAGTTGCAGAGTTTAACAAGTGAAAGTTCAATAGTAATCAGAAATCCCACAGTTTGTGGGTAACACAATTTTCTCCAAATATTTTTTTCTCTCATTCTTCTCTTTCTTGCTGTTTGTTTGTTATTCTTCTTCTCTTTTACTGTTCTTGATAACTCTTTACTTTTTATCACCATTACTATCATACTGTGGGTTTGTTCATCAATCTTGAGATCAAGATTGAAGAAAATTCTTCATAGAGTGTGAAATGAATTTCTAACCATTTATGGAATATGAAAACGATTTGTGCATAATCTTTTTTAAAAATAAGATGTATGGCATGAACGTTGACGAATATTTCTTAGAGTGACATCATCTTTCTTATAATGTTATATAGAATTTCATCCTTTAAAATTTTTGGATTTGTCTGCTAGTATCAAGCCTAAAAGAAGCAGTATGTGGGTTTCCGTGATGGAGTCATGGCTAAACAAATTATTCTTTTAGAGAAGAAAATACTTGTTAATCAGAGGTTGACTGACTTTTATAAATTTTGTTCTAAACAGTATTTCACTATATTTTTCCTCACCTCTCATATTATCAAAGAATGTTATTCACAAGATAATTCCATTCAAAGAAAAACTTCATGGGGTGGTGCAGATAAAAAGAGAAAAATTGTCTGACTAATTGAATTCCCACAATATTTCACTATATTTTTAATTTATAAGGAATTGAGTTCCCACAATAGTTTCCTTATTAATAATAATTTAGTTTAGAAAGAGTATATAAACATGAATATGGAAGTAATAGTAATTGAAAGGTATAAAAGAATAATGATTTGCATCAATGTCTCTCTCAGAAACCCTTTTCCACTAACACAGTTTTACTTATCCCGTTTTATGCCCAAAGTATCTAATCTTAATCCATCACGTTCCGTTATCCGCCGCCTTACTCCCTTGGTGGAGTTACTTCTCAAAATTATTAATATTCAAAAATACAACACCTTCTTTTTCACGTCACTCCTTCACAATATAACTCCTTGTTCTATTTTCTATAAATACCAAACCTTGACACCCACCACCTTCATCTATATCCAACCTCTCTCAGTTTCTTACTCTACCTTTCATTATTTCATGGGTGATACCAATAATAACAACACCAATGTTAATCTTCCTCCAGGCTTTCGATTTTATCCTACTGATGAAGAACTTGTCGTCCATTTTCTTCATAGAAAGGCTTCTCTTTTACCCTGTCATCCTGATGTTATCCCTGATCTTGACCTCTATCCATTTGATCCATGGCAACTTCAAGGTATGTACCTTTTATTATATTATTACTATAATTAATACTCTTTATATAATTAGTTTGATTCATTTTTCTATAGGTAGAGCTTTGGAAGAGGGAAATCAATGGTATTATTACAGTAGAAGGACGCAAACTAGAATTAGTAACAATGGGTATTGGATGCCAATGGGAATGGATGAACAAGTTGTAACAAGTTCAAGCAATAAGAGAGTTGGTATGAAGAAATATTATGTTTTCCATATTGGTCAAGCACCTCATGGGAACAAAACTAATTGGATAATGCAAGAGTATCGTCTTTCTGATTCTTCTTCTTCGTCTTCTTCTAGATCATCATCCAAAAGAAAATCACATCAAAAATCGGTTAGTAAAATAAGAATACTGATTTTATTTTATGCGTTAAAGATGTCAGATACGAAACTGACACTGGATGGATACTGATTTTAGTATTGTTTTTTTATGTAGGAACATAGTAGGTGGGTGATATGTCGAGTTTACGAGCGCGATGAAGATGACGATGAAGACGGAGATGGAACGGAGTTATCTTGTTTGGATGAAGTTTTTTTGTCATTGGATGATCTTGATGAAGTAAGCTTGCCAAATTAGAAGATACAGATGCAAATGCAATGCAAGTGATAATAATACTATAGAGAGAAAGAGAGTTTAATTACTATAGCTACATTTTCCAAATGGGAGATAATTAAAGGTTTAAGCTAATTGTTGTTGTTATGAATATGATTAATTTTCTTTTTTATTTGTAGTTACTTAAATTAAATGTAATCAGTGAAGTTGCTATAGCTATAGAATTCTACTACTAGCTAGCAAGGCCTTTGAAGTGGGGCACTATATGAAATGAAATTCATGACCAAACAATATGCAATATGACGTTATGCTTTCAAAGATCCCATTTGAATTTTTTGTGAATTTTTAGTTTAGTTTTTGTGATGACACGTGGATAATGAAAACCCTCTTTTGCCACTATGAATATAGCATAACCCTGCAAATCCAATCCAGATAATTTAGGCAAAAGGTTCATATCCATTTTTGTACTATGGAAGTAACGTGTGGGATTTGTGTTCACTGCGAGTGCGTGGGAATAAGATGATATAAAATTTTCTTCTTTTTTTCTATATATATAAATAAAAGATACATGGAGATCCTGTTTTATTAATAATACAGTATTACTCTCATTTTAGTCGTTAGTAATATCATGTATATTGAATAGTATTTTTTAGTTGACTATTATGAAGTGGCGGAAAATAACTCTTAAATTTTATTTCTGTTAATAATTTTTTAACCCTAATAACTTAACAAAAGTTTTCATATCTTGTATTGAATTCAACAATAGATGTTAACACTTCCTTCAAATTATTATTCTCAAGTTTATGTGACATAGAATACAAGTAAACAAAAAGAATGATTGAGGCTTTTTATACTAAAGAGCTAGGTAGGATGATGAAAGGCATAGGAAGGAAGCATTGTTTTGAGTTAGTCACGTGCAAGGAGTGTTGTTGAGAGAATTATAATTAGATTTATATATTCATCAAACTTGAGAGAAAGAAATCAATAGTGGGTCCATTCATTGTGGGAGGAATGCTTGCATCTTAACATTTCGGGAGCCCAATCGTCCTACTACACTTTTATAGCATTTGCCTACTTTGATGTTACTATTTGTTAGCTAGTTGTCTTGTATCACAACAACAAGAAAAGAACAAACTTTTTTATTTATTTATTTTGAATTTTTGAATTTTAATGAATAATAGTAAAAATTGGTTCCTGCTTAGGGAAGCATCAAGTCATGTGTGATGAAAGCATTCGCATGCTTTGAAGCACCAACACGAGCACTATATTTTATATTCTCATCACAAAAAGAGTGACAGACATGTCCATGATGTTTACCTTATATTCATCACTTTCTTTCTCTTCCAATATAATTACCTTAATTTCTCTAATTATATATTATTATTATCAATACAATTATCATAATAGATTGCTTAATTATGTATTTCTCAATAATACTAGATACTTTTTTTAATCAATCATAATCCAAGCTTGAGCAATATTTGCATAATTTGATATCATTTTAAACGGTGTATAAATCACATCATATTCACTTTAAACAGTTGACTAAATTTTAGTTATTATTTTTTCAGAGAATTTTAACTTAGTTTCTAGTTGACGAATAAAATTTTCGAGTGTTGATTAAAGTAAAACCATTGTTTAAGTTTTATGATATTCCATTTCAAATTGAAGAGAGAAAATGTTAATGGAGAATAGTCAAACCTCAAGTTAATAATCTATCTTAAAAATTAATTTAATATTTTATTTTAAGCATGTTCTTAATATGTAATTATCAAATGAGTTGCAATATACTTCTTTGTTTAAACTATTTTTTTACAATTTAACTTATATTTTGATAAATCATAAATCACATCAATCTCTCTCTCTTAAAAAAACTACAAAATTAAGGGGGGAAACTATGTGTGTAATTGTTGGTTAATTTTATTTGTATGTAAATACCATCAATTATATTTCATAACTTAAATACCAATGCATACAGTTGTAAATTTGTTTTTACTCCAAACAACATAATGATAAGATTAAATATCTATAAAAAATTATTTTACAAATATATATATATAATCTAGTGATTAAATTAACTTACTTCAAGAGTAAATTTTTTTAATTTACTTCACATCATAGCCTTTAAATTGTATCTAATCTAGTGATTAAATTAACATTTTTACTTATAATCATTCGATTAAATCTAATTTAAAGGCTATGATTGTGGAGTAAGTTGTAAAAACTTACTCTTTGAATAAGCGGATCATCAATATATATATATATATATATATATATATATATATATATATATATATATATATATATATATATATATATATATATATATATATATATATATATATATATATATATATATATATATATATATATATATATATATATATATATATATATATATATATATATATATGTGTGTGTGTGTGTCTGTGTGTCATTTTTATGCGAGAACATGAAAATAAATCTGAACCATTAAATTTTAAAATAAATTATGGATATTATGTGTATGTTTTTTTTCTCTCTCCTCCATCATTTATTTTAATAAAGGAGGAGAGAGAAAAAAATCCACACATAATCTTCACCAGTTATTTTAAAATCTAATGGTTCAGATTCATTCTTATGTTCTCACATAAAAATGGTATTCTCAAAGGGTACGTCATATATTTATTTTAACATCGAATTTTCTTTATCGTCTTTCAAAGCCTTGATCCCCAAAAAGAAAACCTTTCATAGGAGCTTCCTATAGATCTACCTGAAGAACTCGTACAGTAGAGGCATGAATTCTCTTTTCCTCCTTAAGGTCATTTTCTTCAGCCTTGACTTCAAGAAGTTTGGTGCTCTGACTCTGGTAGGTCACCTTCAAGGTTTTCTTTTCTCCCAGAATAGTTTCTTTTTCATGTCCTGCTTTTTCAAGGTCAGCCTGCACATCTTTATAATCCTTCTTAAGATTGTTTATCCTCTTATTAGCAGACGTCAACAAGGTTTTGTTAAGTTAATAATTCTCCTTCTTCTTTTTCTTGAGGTCAGACTTCACAGTCGTATCCTAATTCTTAGAAAATTTTGAATCATTAAACATTGCCTTACCTGACATGACACTATTCATCAAGTATTTATCGAGCTATTTGAGAACTTTTGTTAAATCCATTGTCTTCTCCTTCTCAATGTCGTTGTTCACGTTGAGTTGATCATAAATGAACGTCGTCCCATCAAAACTCTTCTCTAAAAAGTGAAATTCTTCTTTGTTATAAGGCACCAAATATCCACTTCTTGGGCAGTTATTGTTACTGCCCTCTAAAAAGCTCTTCACCTCCAAATATATAGATGTGGTTGCATCCAAATCAAGTGGTCCCTTACCAATATCCACCTTACTTTTCTTGACATGAGGCGGCCCTGTATTCTCGAGAGGAAAAGGTGTTTGGACAGTGAACATCAGAATGGCATGGATACATTTTCCTTCTGAGGTTCCTTTTCTCTTCTTAGGCGTCCGAGTTTGAAAGTCGGTCAAGTCACTATGATGGTTTGGGTGACCAACTTTGCCCCTTTGAGCTTTCACTTTCTCCGTCATCTCTTTTTTCATCGTGACAATAAGGGGGTCATTTTTTATACAAAAATGAATTAAAGGGTTAAAAAAAAGGGAGCTTACGATTAAAAACCAAAATAACTAAAAAAGCACCTTACTGAGGAACCCCGTTAGCACTAAAAGGTCTCCCTCATAACGCAACAGATCTTTTACACTTATAGTATGAGATTTTTTTAGGAAACCATCCCCTTATTTCTCTGATTCATTAAATTTTTCAGGATCATAGCCCGTGATCGAAAGGGGATTGCATGTCCATTAAAGGTGTAACCTATATGTACCACTCTTCATACATAACCTTCAGATAATGACAACTATCCCGAACATGGATTAATTTATCTTTCGGGGGCTTATAGTTGGAAGAGTAAGGGGAGGGAAGAGCCCTTTCTGATATTATGGTCAGAGAAACCCACCCTCCCCAGTTAACACCTTTCATCTCATAGAACAAGAATATGTCGATAGTATGCATAATATCGAGTAACCAACAAAGAATCTTGAATCCTCAAATAAAGGTTTGGTTATTTAAATGAAGTTGAGATGGGCAACATTGATGGCCTTTATAATATTAGCCTGAAACATAGTGAACGAGATGAAAACTCTAAAGTTCAAAATTACTCCATTATAGAAGTAAAAGTATTCACCATTTACTCCACGAGGCCACCGCATGCAAGCCTTTTCACCTTCCACACAAGGGTATAAGTCACATCAACCTCATTTCCAATATGAAATAGATGTGCACCTACCCGATAAGGTTGAATTGATAGTGTCATAATAGACCTACCCAATATTGAAGAAGAAGACACTAAGCGAGTTTCAATATCACTATGCAAGTCATTATTTAAATTATCGCTAGATAAGCTATCATAACTACCAAACCTATTCATCTCGACAAATCTCCAATCTACTTTCCCACTACCTCGTTTCTAACTCCTTAAGCATTGATTCCTTATTTCATATTTCTTAAAATTAGTTTTAGGTTCGTTAACTTTCCTAAATGAAATCACACTCGCGAATATAAACTATGACAAGAGATAAGAAATAAAATACACTAAAGAATAAGAAGCAATATTTGGTTTCAATGATGATTAAAGAATAAATTAGCAAATAGAACAAAGAAATGACCATTAAAGAAGAAGAATTTCTTATAAAAATGAAAGTAAACTCAAGCAGTGGAGTTAAGGTAAAATGCAAACCTATATAAATATAAAAATCCCTTGAATGAAAAGTAGACGATATGGAGTAGGAAACATTAAGAGTTATAACCCTAAGAAGTCAGAGAAACCGAAAAGCCTATACGACCACATTTGTTCCCAAGGCATTTGTAATCATGACAACAATGTAAAAAGACTTCCAAACCAACCAACAGGATAAACCAAAGGAAAGGGATATTTTCAAAAGGTAGAACAATAAATATGGTAGAGTTTAGATCTCTAAAACGATCAACCTG